GTTTAAATGATTCGGTTCAATCGCAATGACTCGCTTATTAACCGTGACTTGCTGCCACCTGCTGGCGGTTTTAATTTCACATTTAAAGTATCTTTTCATTTTTTAAATAATTTCAAATATCAGTATTTCATGTTTAAAATATCAAAACATTATTTATGCATTTGTACCTGCAGGTTAAAGCATTCCATGTCCTTCTAAGCTGCATTTTTAACATGTGTAAATCTAAATGCCACTTCATATGCAACTTCTGCAAAGATTAATATGAATTTTATTAATACTGATTTCATTTGTTTAGCAACAGCCTAAATGTATTATTATTATTATTATAATTGACTGATTAAATGTAAGTCTTTATAGATTTGTCCTCTTATTTTTAAGGTCATGGCCACAGTCATTCTCTATTTAATGGCAGTGTGGGACATGGACACAGTCATGAAGCCCACGGACACAGTCATGAGTCCAAACACGATCACGGGCATTCACACGGAGGACACGGACATTCACATGGAGGACATGGGCATTCACATGACGATCCCCACTGCCATGGTGAGACCTCAAGCTAACTTACAGATTTGAGTGCAGTTTCTGTTACGACTCAGTACCATTATAATGCATCAGATGTGATATTTGGTCCTCATACTGTGTGAAAATTGCAGAAACTGTTTTGATCGTAATGGTGTCTAGTATAGCATGATTCATTTCTAATCTGCCTGTGTCCTCAGATGACCACTTGCACACACCGGGAAAAGGCTCCAGCAAGCAGATATTACAAGGTATGGCCTTTTTGTATGTTTGTTCTCCTCCAGATGGCGCTAGAGATCTCTTTTGTCGCAATATTTGCCTTGCTTTTAAAGAGGCACCAGATATGAAAATATTTACAATCACATCTATCAGGTCTAGACAGCTTTTTCCTCTTTTATAGGTGGTCAATATTTTGAATTCTTTGTGGATGAGGTCCTCTTGTAAACTTGAAAAAAAAAAAGGAAAAACAGAAGGGAGGCATTTTCTTCATTTAAAGGCAGAGTAAGCGATTTCTGGTAGCCAATGTTGATTAGTGTTTTGTTTTCTCAGGACATGGCTGACTACAGAGGAAAGGGGAAAGGAAGCGGAGGGGCATCATCTGCCAAATCCAAACCCAAGGATGACGATGATGATGATGACGACGATGAGGAGGAGGATGAAGAAGAGGAAGATGAGGATGACTAAAGAACTCGTTTGTCCTAATTGGGCAGCAAGTTATTTGTTCGCTGCCAATTAGTATCAGTTAAGTCTGGGTCTAAGAGGTCTTGATGTCAAGGCTGCTATAAACTGATCACCAGTAGAGATGCCCAATGCATGCAAGCTCTGACTTTAGACAACCAAACTTTCTCAGTGCTGGGTTTGCTGGTGGTCCAGTTACAGCTTGCTATTAAACTGCATTGGCAAAAACAAAATATTTCCACACCGTTCAACAATAAACAAAGTGGTAGCAGTACATACTCTTTTAAAACTATTTAAGGTGGTGTGTTTCTGTGTGGCTGTTGACGTAGTTATTTTTTATTTTTTTTTTCTACTCTTCCCAGCTTTCAAAATGCACAATTTGTTGCTATATTTAAAGTTCAGTTTCGTTCGGCCCCATAAGCTTCCTGCATTGTTGAAAGGATGTTTGTGAATTGTGGTTATATTATTATTTGTGTAATTTTGACTGATTACATTGATAATTTTATGTGTGGAGAGTCTAGGGACATTTTCAGCTTTAACCAGAGGCAAGTGATGAAATGTTAAGCTGGGGAAAGCTCTTATTTGCACCTTCAGTTTTTTTTTTTTTTTTTATGTCTAGGTGACACTGTGATTTGAAATAAACATGGCATTTTTAGATCTCAAATGATTCAAGCGACTTTCTTATCTGCAAAATGTAGTGTGTAAATACTTGGGGTATTTGTCAATGTTATCAATAAAAGGATAAATGGTTATAGTTTCTTTTAAGAGTGCTCATTTAATTTGGATTTGTTGTCATTCTCTCCAATTAATCATAACTCTGATAATGCATTGACTGGGGTGAGCCACTAGATGTCAATGGAGGGCATCTATTGCACAAACTGTTTTAAAGGCAGAGTAAGGGATTTCTGGTAGTCAATGTTTATATTTGAAATCACCAAAACAAACACGCCCCTACCCCAAAAGGGTCTTGCCCCTATTTTGATAGCTCCGCCCCACATATACATACGCAACCCAGGGAACGATTAGTTCTGTGAAACAAAGCAAAACCAATGTTACACCGTGTCTACGGACGTGAGCGGCGCGGCGCAACAAATCCCGACAGAAAACTGCTGCCGGGTTCTATTTATGATGTGCTGACACACATTTCAAATGGTTTTCAACGGTCGTTTGATCGCGTCCGGTGTAGGCAGACTTTAGCTGTTGTAGACACGGTGTTACTCACCTACTGAGAAGAAACATAGCAACCTCGGCGTCCGATCGCAGGCCTCCGCTCCTTGAGTTCTCTCCAGCACTGGAAAGCTGATCCAATATTTTACACGGGTCCTACTTCTTGCCTTATCTTTCCGCAGACGTTTTCCTCTTTTGTTTTTTTATCCGCCATCTCTATCTTTCTGTCGCTCGGCTCGGCTAATGTCCGTCCCATGCACTGAAAGCACTCTCCTCCACATCACGAGTAGACACGCCCCTTATTGCTGATTGGCTACAAGTTTGTTTTGCTATTCGGCCCGAATCAGTTTTCTAAAGTGTTTTTGAAAAATCACATACCCTGCCTTTAACCACTTGAAATGAGTGCTCTAGATCAGACGTAACTGGATGATGGACATTTATGTGCAACCAAGTGACACCTCTGACCATCCCAACCTCTAACCTTTGACTCGGGGGTGACCAGGTTAACACGGACAACGGAGCAAACGTGGTACACTGTCGCTTTAAATCCCTTTGTTCGAGCTTGTGTGGGAAAGAGCAGAGCAGAGAAAGTAGTTTGTCCCCTTCACCCTGGTACACACAGAGAGAGAATGGATCCTTTGGGAGGCCTGCTCAAGGGAGAAAGAACGGGGCACGGAGGGGAGGACCTTGTAGAGAGGGGGAGGGGAGGGGAGGAGGTGACAGTGCAAAAGGTTATGCTGCCTCCATCCCAGCCGAGGGACCTCTTCTCCACTCCCCGTGATGAATTGCAAGTAGATCCTACCAGCCTCCCGTCCTGAAGATTTTCATGCCTATTTTGGCTATGTTTATTATACTTACTTTTTACACAGAATACTTGGTAGATGTTCTCTATTTGCCTAAACATGCAGTATGAAATATTATGCACTGCCCAGACTACTGTATTCCAGAATGCAATGCACTTGACTTTCCTTTTGCAGTGTGACAAATGAAACTTGATTTGTCTAAAAATGTGTTTATATACCTGTGGTTAAGACATTTTTATTATTTTTTAGAAAGGCTTTTTATTTAAGTACTATTACCACTATTACCACTATTTTGCAATGGAATATTGGAATATAATGGAATATTATTATAATAAGACACAAAAATGATTTATTATTGATGTTATTTTACAAAATATATTTAATAATAATAATAATAAAGTAATAATAATAATAAATTGACAATTATGAAAATATTTTGAATTATTAATAGCAATATTTAGCAAAAAATAGATTATCATCACTATTATTAAATTACTATAATAATAATAAACGGTGATTATTATTATTTTATAAAAATATTATTTTACAAAAAAATATAATGTAATATTTTATTATTTTTATTAAGTGAGAATATTAATTGTTGTTATTTTGCAGAAGATAAATATTTTCACTAATCATAATATTATTAATATAAAACATTATTAATAGAGTTGTGGAAAAGTGATACAAAAATAGATTAATAATATAATAGTAGTAGTAGTTTTGATGAAAGGAAGATACTTTTAATAAAATATAAATATTTTCATATTTATCATTTTAATATTTTATAATAATTGATTATTTTTATTAGTATTATGTGAAAATATATATTTTATTTTAATTTAATTTGTTTGTACAGCATAGTAAGCTATTAGTAATAGTTAGCTATTATCAATATTAGAATTTTATTCTAAACACAGCTGTTGTTTCTAAGAACACAAAGAGCTCCAGCATTCTTTTTATTTTTCTAGTATTTGTTTTGACCACATTTGGACGGGGTCTTCACTTATTAGGGAGTTTGCTCCATTACTGCAGTCGTGCTTTCTGCAAAACTGAAAGTAACCGCAAGTATGTCATCTAATTTTGAGGGAAGGAAAGGACTTAGTGGACCGTCTCAGTGCCGTCACACCACAGTCCACAGCTATTCTCCAGTGTTGAACAGGACTGCCAGTACAGACCCTTGAGTTCAGGAAATGTTGACTGACTCACTCATGTTGGTTTTAACATAGTAGCGTATGATATTATATATTCTGGAATCTGGAAATTTATTCAGGGAGGGCAGTCTTGCAGGTTGGCCATCCATTCGAGGATGTACTCGTATGACCTGTTTGTGGAATGACATCATCAGTTTGAGGGTTAACGCTAGAGATGGTATCCAAGACAGCGGGTTTGTTCCGTCTGCAATAGTCATGTTTGAACATGGGTGCTAGCAAATGTCGTATCCTCATCTCAGGCACAATATTAACTCATTAGTGCTGTTTAAGTGAAACCAGGACCGTTCATGTAGGCAAAAGCCTTAGTGTATAACTTGCTGTAAACTACCTACATAGATAACTGCCTACTTCATAGGTGACCGGTTTGGAAAACTCTGGGCATTGACTCATGCAAATTGCCTTTTCTTTTTTTTTTTTCCCTCAACTCACAATTGGTTCTAATAAAGTTTGATGTTAGCAAGTTGCTAAGCTAAAAGCACACACAAATATTTGGTATTTCAGTTTGATTCTGTTATTTTAAATTATTTGTAATATTAATATAACATTTTATAAATATTATTTTTATTGAGATTTATTTTATATTTTACTATATCTCAATATTAATATACTTAATATACTTAAAAGGAATTATTAATAAACATTAATATTTATAACAATTTATAGTTGTTTTAAATGTAATAAATATTAATGTATTAGTATTAATATTAAGTATATTATATTAAGTTAATACTGAGATATAATAAAAACATTTTAATAATTTTTGTATTTATATACACTACTGCTCAAAAATTTGACGTCAGTAGATTTGTTTTTAAAAAGAAATTAATATTTTCATTCAGCAAGAATGCAATAAATTCATTAAACTTTCTATTCATCAAAGAGTCCTAAAAAAATGCACTAGAGTTTCCAAAAAATATTAATTAATACTAATAAGAAATTTTTCTTGTGGACCAAATCAGCATATTAGAATGATTTCTGAAGGATCATCATGTGACACTGAAGACTGGAGTAATGATGCTGAAAATTCAGCTTTATCATCACAGGAATAAACTTAAGTTTTAAAATATATTAAAATAGAAACGTTATTTTAAATTATAATAATATTTTACAGTATAACTATATTTACTGTATTTTAGACTTTTAAAAAATCTGACCCCAACATTTTGAACAGTAGTGTGTATTTTCTTTTAGATTTTTGAACAGAATAAATCGAAACCCTCATTTTCTTCATTTCAGGAGTTTTTCTCCACATTGTTGCGGACACGTTGGGCAGTGTCGGTGTCATCATATCTGCCATCCTAATGCAAAAATACGACCTGATGATTGCCGACCCCATCTGCTCCATGCTCATCGCGATTCTCATAGGAGTGAGGTGAGTACGCAAACCCCGGCCCATGCTATTATGAGCACTGACCCCTCTCGACTCAACTCAAGACAATCCTCAATCCTCAGACCCCACCCAGAAACCCTCAACAGCACCTAACACAGATCATACAAAAGCCACTTCACAGTACCCTTCACCAAGAGCCCTGTGAAGCCGTTGGTGCTCCAGCCGGGTGAATTACAGGATACACGCTCAGAGGGTGGAGCCCCAGAGCACTTTCTCAACATGTGGCAAAACCAGAAAACACAGGATTTGACTCTCTCATGTGGCATTTTTCATACAACTCCAGTCGAGAAGGAAAAATGCATAGCATTTCATCACTTTTTAAACCTACCAAACCTCTCATTCCTCCTCCATAGTCTTGAAAATGCCATCAGATGCTTTTATGGTGATGAGTATGCTTTATTTTTTGTGTGTAATGTAGGTAAATGTATGTAAAGGCTGTGTAAATTTGAGCAGGACTGCACCATGTTTAAATTGCAGATGACCCGTGGTTACTGTGCTTGAGTGAAGAGGCACCGTTCGTGGCCCCTTTTTGCAAAATGCACGAGTCTGAGCAAAGCCTTTCCCGCATATTCATCTCGTCCCTCCAAACCCCCCCTCCCCCCACCCCTCCTTCTTGTCCATGTTTGAGACTTTTCTTCTCCCTCTCTGGAATGTGGTGGCGATCTGTGAATGTTACTTCAACAAAGGCATCTTTTAAGATGGATTTTTCTTTCTCTTTGTTTCTCAATAAAGGGGGATCTTAGACATTTTTTCCCCCTCTTCTTCAGTTTTCCATGCAGTGGCCGAGAGGCAAATCCTGAGAACTGAGAGTAGGGCTAAGACTGTGGACGTTTTCCCATATTGCACCTGCGTGACAGCGTCTCGGTCTCATTCAGGTGCAGTCTGGAGGCCGATCTGGTATGGCACACGTACAAAGGTATTACACAACTATGGAAAGCCATTAAATTCCAAAGCAGGTAATTAAAAACAGTTGCAAACCAGAAATGAGCTTGTTAAAGAGCTTGTGAAGCTTAAGATTTCACGTTCCTGTGGAAATATCTGTAGAAAGTTTGAAAGAACAGCACTTACTTGCATTAGAAATCTTTTGTAATATTATAAATGTCTTTACTGTCACTTTTGATTAATTGAATGCATCATTGCTGAATAAAAGTATTAATCTCTTTTAAAAAATCGTATCAACCCCAAACTTTTAAACCGTAGTGTATACTGCATACTGTTTGCTACTCTAAAAATAGTATGCAAAACTGTATGCATCAAGTCAGTAATTTTTAATTTACATTAGTGTAAAAATAAAATTCTGACATTATTTACTTACTGTCATGTCCAAAACTGTATGGCATACTTCTTTCTGTGGATAACAAATGAAAATATTTTGCAGAATGTTTTGACTGTTTTTGCCCATGTAATGATCTGAAAACTTGGAAAAATTTGGACCCCATTGACTTTTTTCAAAGTATTTCTTTTGTGTTGCATTCAAAGTCGAGTGCCATGCAGTGCATTGTGGGATTTTGCCAAATGTAGTAGGTCAAGGGTACTTAATTCAAAATATGCATACTAAGTACAGCACACCTACTATATACTGCAGAAATAGTAGTATGCTATTCTGAACAATTCCTAAGAAAAGTGATGTGTTCGCCAGAACTAGCTAGGCTTAATGTGTTTGGGGAAGCATGGCTGTTATATATATAGATTTATTAAAGACATGATACATTAGTGTGAAAGATGATACTGTGGACCAAAGCAAGAGATCATCTGCAACTCTAGACTCTCTTACACATTTGAACTTCATGCCTGTGTACGTCTGGCACAGCAGAATCATTTATTGTTCGAGTCTTGAGAGAGATAGGCCATAATTGGCCGCGTAGAATGTCTGTGGTTCTTTGTTTGATCGTTAAGATGGACTCTGCTTTGTTTGGAATTTTGCCAAATGTACTATGTCAAGGGTACTTGAAGGGTTCAAAATTTGCATAGTAAGTACAGCATATCTACTATATACTGCATAAATAGTAGTATGCTAGTATGCTATTCCAAACATCGCCCAAGAAAAGTGATGTGTTCTCAAGAACTAGGCTTAATGTGTTTGGGGAAACACGGCTGTTATGGATATAGATTTATTAAACGCATGATATGCTAGTGTGAAAGATGGTACTGTGGACCAAAGCATGAGTTCATCTGCAACTCTAGACTCTCTTACGCATTTGGGCTTCATGCCTGTGTACGTCTGGCGCAGCAGAATCATTTATCGTTCAAGTCTTGAGAGAGATAGACCATAATTAGCCGCGTGGAATGTCTGTGGTTCTTCGTTTGATCGTTAAGATGGACTCTGCTTTGTTTGGACAGCATTTTTCCCATGTACCCCTCATTGTGAGATTGATATTCTCAAGATAGCGCCTTGTTTTGATCCAGCCATCTTGCTCGCATTTGGATGTTTGACCTTTCGCTAAGATGATGGACTTCTCCTTCATCAGCACCCGAGGCATGACACATTTGTGGGGGACCCTTTGCAAAAGACCCCTTGCTGCACGCGAACTGAGCCGTGTTTAGCTAAGGCCGCTCTGGGTGCGGTAGGCTTGCTTTAGGGGGATATCTGGGTATGGCTGCAGCGGCTGGATCTGTTCCGGTACCCTGTGATTAGTTGGAGGGAGTGGAGGAGTCATGTTGCTGTGGCCTACAGCAGTCCCCCACCACTAAAGTCTTCCAAAGACCGCTAATCGCTTTGGGTCCCAGCCTAAAGCCAGAGGAATGGGCACGTAAAGAACGTTAACAGTAATTAACATTTGTTCTGGCCGTACTAAGCTGGGCCTTTGAGGATGGATTCATTTGTCAAGCCTCAGTGCAAATGTGTCTAAAGGCTCTCCAAAACTGCTTTTGTTGCATGTTATTGTGTTATTCTTTGATCTACTGTATCTGTGCCGGCTACTAGATACTGTATGTTTTTTTCAGAATGCTAATTTACGGCGTATTGGTGCAGGTGGGGAACAAGCCACATATACATGCAACAGCACTTTATTTAACACTCAGCTCTGCATATATAAGTAATTTATGTTATCTGAGGGCTGTATCATTCAGTTATGACCCAGACATGTTTAATGAGATTCATTCAGTTTTACACAAATTGTGTTCTACATTCAGATTGGACCTTTTGTGACCATCAGCTATGTGGGGAAAAAGTTTTAGTATTAGTGATCATTTGTTGTAAAGTGTTGGTAGAGCTGGTCAGAAGATGTTTGAACATTTGCAGACTCTCAAACTATAAAAATGAGCCTTTGAATCCAGGCATAAATGTTATGCACAAGGCCAAATAGCTATACAATCCTGTGGTTATGACCACCATAGCTTGAGTGCAGTTGGTTCCTAGCAGCAAAGCATCTTAAGTTTTTTGTGGTGGAATCCCAATAACTACTTTCCCTAGAAATGGAAAAGTTTGTTTGGTCATATTGCTTATAAATCTCAGGTTAAATGTACCTGCTCTTATTCCCACTGTAATGTTTCAGACGCAGACTTCACTACAGTTACCTCATTCTTGCGGTGGTTCTGGTGTCATAAATATTTCTGTGCTCCAATTAGGTACTCCGGTTGTCTGGGCGTGATAACCAATCATTTCCATGTGATTTAGAAGTGCGTGTGCTTTTACGAGTGACTGCTTTGTGCCGCGTGACTCCAAGCTGTTTTCCTGGTTTCCAAAAAAGTCCATAGGTGATTACAAGCGTCCTTGCAGAAATATTTTATCCCGATTGTCACCCTGACCTAGGTGGTGACATTTCATCTGTGTCACTGGCCAGCTTAACCTTGATGCTCGCACGTAAATTGTATTTCAGGCAGCTGAGTCACTTGTGTAACTGCATTACAGCGTTTTCGGGGCAGGTTATCGATCAAGCACCAGCGAACGGTGAGTAAGAGTGCCTCCGTTTCACTGAACAGGAAGGTGTGGAACAATAGTATGATGTCAGAGGTCTGAGGTACCCTCATCCAGTACTTTCCTGTTTTCATTTTATTGTCCAAAAGAGGGACAAACACACCGGTTACTGAGAGGAATGCACAGTGGCCAGTTTTATGATGCCCTGTCACAGTACATGTTGATGGAAACGTATGGTAATTATAGAAAAACCTTCAGAAAGTTGACATGTTGTGCAGTTTGACAGAATGGATCTAATTTGTCAGTCTGCCAGTAGACTTGATTTATTTTACTTTCCAGGTGTACTAAAGCTAATAGATTCAAAGAGGGATGAGACAGACCAATCAGGCTCTGCTTTCATGTTCCTATATGGCTTAGTGTAGATTACAAGCTTGCTTGCTTGCAAACATTGCTTGGTAAACCCCAGTCATCTTCAGGGAGGTATTGAACAGAAACACTTGCATGCGTTGCATTTTAAACACATTACCTAATGTTACTTGACCATAAAGTGTGCCGAGTAGTCAGAATTGCTATAGATTGGTCTGGAGCGTAGTGCTTATATTGATATTACTCATGTATGCTCTCGATATAGGGTAGTAAAAGTCTGTGGAACCTCACGGTTCAAGACCCGACTATTGTGAAATCAAAGCCTTGTGAGTAACATGATTGCAGTTTTTACAATTTTATCAAAACAATGTTGGGGCAAAATATTTTGTAGGCAAACATTGTTGCAGTTTTTCAGCAATGTGTGCCAAAGAGTGTTTAGCAAGGTCAAATGTTGTGAAATGCATCCTTGTTGATGCCACATTTGCTTTCAGTTTCATGAATGTCCAAATGAGACCGTGATCAGCTTCTCCACTTTGGCGTCTCCCAAACTGAGGCTGGGGTTACAGGGAGGAGTTCAGGAGAACATGGGGCTGATAGAGTAGATTAGGGACGGGGAAAAAAGTCCAAACCAAGGAATCCTCTAATGGTTCCCAGATGGAGCAGTGGTCAGGTCTTGAAGGTTTGAAGGAGGACTGATGACTTTGTAAGATGCTGGCCTAGCCAAGACCTAGCTTTGATGGGGCTGAAACGGCTGACTGGTTAGAAGAGAAATAGTCCTAGTCCTTTCTTAACCGGTCAACCGTTTCTGCCAAGTGATTCTTCAGCAGAATGAATGGGTTTGGATGTCTATCCTCGTCTGTTCAGGGTTGCTTGCTGGCTCACGTGCACTACAGCTGTTGGAATGACGTCAGCACAGCTCTCTGTTACTCCACCCCAAACATAAGATGGGCAAGTTTATGTTGGACCACGTTAAGCATGCTCAGAAATAATCCTAATGAAAAGAGTTCTTGTTTGTCATAATGACAGAATTTCCTCTCCTCAGCTTATAACACGATGTGTCAAGCTGTTTGGTCACTAACCAATTCATAACCAATGACGTCTTTATGTGTGGCATCCCTTCCTGTTGCCAGAGTTTGCCTAGTACTTGGCGCCCCATTGAGTTCATGTCTCATAGAACGGCGACTCATTTCTCGCCTCCCTCTTTCCCACAGTGTGGTTCCTCTGCTCAGGGAATCCATAGGGATCTTGATGCAACGGACGCCTCCTTCTCTGGACCATACCCTTCCTGAATGCTACCAAAGGGTGAGTCATTTCCATCTTCTGGATCCTATTTGTGAAAGTTGGCTACTTGGTTAGACAGAGTAAACCTGGGATATTAACTGGAATTGTAGCCAAGTTGTCCCGAAACATAACTAGCTAACCAAGTAGCCACATTTGAAAAATGGGATCTTGACACCCTATTGAGGGTCAGGACCTCAATCTTGCTGTTCCAGGTTTTTGCCTGAAATAGTTCTATATAGCCATAGTCCAAGCACCCTAATGAATGACAGAACCTTTGAGAAAAACTGGGGTTGCGTTTGCTAACCACTAATGTTCCCTGCAGGTCCAGCAGCTTCAGGGTGTCTATAATCTCCAAGAACCTCACTTCTGGACCCTTTGCACAGATGTGTATATTGGTACACTCAAACTTCTTGTGGCACCCGACGCAGATTCTAGATGGATTCTCAGCCAAACGCACAACATTTTTACACAGGTGGGGACCGTTGGAAAACAGAGCTTTAACAACTTCATCTCACTTATTAAGGGACATTTCAAAGTTTCCATTACATGATCTTTTCTGCCCTGTGCCCAGGTTGGCGTCAGACAACTGTATGTTCAGATTGAAGTGGCAGCCATGTAGAAGTCCGCCACACTTCTCCTGATCTTTGGGAGTCCTGGGACCAAAGGCCTTCTGTGCTGCTGTGGGGAAATTCTCCACCTCAACCCATCTCTCTTTGGGTTTCTGTCGCTCCACTTCCATTTTGGATCAAGATGGAGCTGATGCAGTCCAGCAGTCTGACTCCACTCTTACCAGAAAACAACTGACCAGCTACAACAATGTAATGGTTTTGAGGGAAGGAAGAACTTGCAACATTGGTGCACCCACTCAATCATTTGAACTTTTTTTTTTTTTTTGGAAGTTCCCCAATTCTTTTGATTTTTATAATCATGACAAACTGTTTCTTTTCCTCATAATTGCTGCCCTTTTCCATTATTAGAATGGGGTTTTAATTATTGAATGTGGAGTTCAGTGGACATTTGTAAAAATAGCAGTATGTGATTCATTGACTTTTTGTAGTTCACCTGCTTTGATTTTCAGTTGCACAGTTGTAAAGAAGAGCAGAATTTTTCGCCAATGCCATTATGTAAACAAACATTTGTCTGCATTTCTTAAGTGCCTTTTTAAAAATGATCATGGACAATCGCTTGGACCATCATGTTTGATGGTCAACATGAATGCGATGAAAACTGGATCTTTATGACCTTGAGTTCTGTCTACATTAAAACATTCCTTTGCATATGGCTTTGCTGTTTATGCATGGTGTGAAATTTGTATGAACAAGTTCATAAAACCTGTCATATAGACAGAATGACACGGAAGCAGCTGTTTTTATGCATTTGATGAATGACTTGAATGGAAATTATAAAAACTCCATGATTTTTTTTATGCACAGGAAGGTACAAGCATCAGTAGGCAAGTCCAACATATTTGCAGTAAAATGTCAGAGCCTATTACGGTTTATTTCCGTTCAAGTAATTGGTGGAAACAGTTAATCAAGGCTAGTTCTGTCTGGAGACAGACTTTTTCCAGTTTAAAATTGATCAAGATTTCCTTGTGATTTTCAAGACTTCCTCCAGTGATTTTCACCTAAATACACCTTTTACTTTGTGTTTTTCAGCTGTTACTTTTTTTAGTTGCATTTGAAAGGGTTTGAAAGGATGAAGAGTTTTGAGGTATTTTCAGGACTGTATTGTTATATTGTTTAACAGTTGTTAAACTTTGTTTGCCAAGCTATTAAGATTGCACCAACATGTTAGATTTTATAATTATATATATAACCTTCACTTAAACCAGTAAATGTTTAAAGAAAGTTAGTGAATCTTGGGCTTTGTACTTTGATGGGAGTAAAAAGCAGATGCAGATCTGTAAACCCAATAATCTTTAAATGCAACACGTGAACTCAAATTTGTCTTTGTGTAAATAAACCAGACAGAGGCAAACTACTTTCTGACAATAGCTTTATTCACTTTCTATGCAATGAGAGATCACAAACAAAACCAAAGATGTAGATGAAAGTAGCCAAACCACAAGTAGGGCGTTGATGCAATCAGTGGCAACGAAATGAGTGTCTTTATTGTACGAAAATCAATCTTCATCCATTATGACATGCTCAAAGGAATCTCAGTATTCGCTTTTATCTTATTTTCATTCTTACTGAAAAAGTTCCATTAAGAAATGTACAGAAACATTATGCCAATTTCAAATAAAGCCCAATTTCAGAGGCACTAATGCAACCCAGATGCAGTTGGTCCACAATAACCTTTTCCATTTCCTCTATTATAATTCCATCATTTATTTTTTTGACAGCAAGAACATGACTACCACACGTAAAAATAATCATCCCACTCCCAATCTAAATCTTCTAATGAAATGCAACCTGGCCCGACCGGTGCTTAAAGGTTATAGTGGTCAAATTTGATCTGGAATAACAATTCTGTAATTTGTGTGCTCTCCTGACCCTCCGGCAGCTCTAGGCTCTCACGTGGACTGCCTTGTCTGCTTTTCCTTTTTTTAAAACCCAGGAGCATTGAAAAGGGAACTTTTTTCTTGTGGAGAACAAGCTTCTTGGATATCAAGAACCGTATGTGGAACTATCAGTCATCTTCAAGGTCTTCAATCCCTCCGGACCACTGAAGAGTTTCAACATGTCGACCTCTAGAGGATGAAGGTGTCCACTGATGATCATTGAGTGAAGTGGTCCTCCCAGGTCACAGGACGCCAACTCCTGCAGCGTCCCGGAACGGATGGTCTGGTCCTCGGCTCCGATCCGAGCCAGACCAACACACACTGTGTCTTCAATCATTGCTGCATTGAAGGAAAGAACATAGGATAAACCGTGAAACCAACGCTCACAAAGCTTTCAATCAAATCTAATCCAATTTTCCATCATTGCTTGCCAGTGTCTCAAGTCTTCCAGACGTCCAGATTGTTCTACAGAGGTTTTCATGCAATTCAGAAAGGTTTGCGAGAGTTACTTACCCAGTTCCTCACCCCGATCCCGTCGGTTCTGTAGTATTTCTAAGAGTTGCTCAGCTGCCTGAGCAACAGTCATGTACCTGGGAGGCTCAAATCTTTCGACCCCTGGAAAGAGAGGGGATTGATAAACTTTTAAGGTGAGCAGAAGTATCTGGCGTCATCTATTAATCTGTCTGCATACTTTACAGTGTCGAAATTAGTTAATGCACATGTTTCAGGTGGTCCCAGAACATTGAGCAAGTAGGTGGCCATTAATGCAATTTACATCTGAGCTTTAAAGTTAAATACTCTGCATGCTTAAGGTGCATTAGCCATTAACGGACCATCGGTCAGTCTTTAATGAAATCAGTCAACTTAAGGAAGTTGGAGACATGCTTTGAATTTCTTTTTGGGCTGTTTCCCCCGCCCTGCAGTGAAGGGCACCAACCTCACTGGACAAACATCTGACTGTGACCAAAATCATGCAGCATATGGTTATTCCATTTCCGAGTAATGGTACAGCAGTGCCAATAAATCTGGGAGACATTAACACACTTTCCAGCCTTTAACAGGGAGCACGCACCAGGCCTAATGCTCGTCTCCTTATAGCGTACATAGTGGAACACTAAAACCCATTTGGGGTTTATGTGGATTGGATATAAAATTACACAAAGTGCAAGGAGTTAACAACTGTCTTCTACAATGAAAAAAAATTCAACACCAGTGAAAGTTTTTCAAAAAGGCTTTATGTTCAAGTTTGAAAGCATTTGATGAAGTTCACTGTTGCCGATAAACATATTTCTGAAGGCTTCAGATGGGAAAATTATAACATGGCAGTTCTGGAGGCGGCCCAGGGAAGGTCCATGATAACATATCATGCGTCCAAGTCAAACAAGCGGCCACGTTTTTTTACTTTTGTTATTTTTTTCCAACTCGACCAGTCTGCCCCCCAGCAACTTGCATAAATGTTAACTCAATGTCTGCTGTAAACCACAAAAAAAGCACCACAGGACTAGATATAAATCAGCAGAACCCACTCAACCCCACAGAAAATCAGAAAGTGAGAGAGTCTTACCTCATTAAATTCGCCATGGACTGCTTTTTGACTTTGATATCTGCGAAACAAGGGAGTTGCAAGTGTTGTACGATACAATAAGCTTGGGTTTTATAAACTAGGCCTCTCTGGATGTTAATGTCACATCATAAATATTAGGTCGCCCCTCCATTTGGGGCTGTTAACCCCACTCAGTCTGGAGCGCGAGTACATTTTCAGACTGCACCTGAGAGGGCTCCATATTGAGAACAAAGACAGATGTACAAATCATGACCAGTCATGTTCTCACACCATGTCTACAACTGAAAGGGGCGACATTAACCTCAAAATGTTCATAAATAACAGACCAATCATATGAAAGTTCAAGGCCAAACTTCAGCTACAATAAAATAGGACAATTTCTTTGTTTCCTACTTTCGTTATAAATGGAAATATAATATCAAAACTGACTTCGCATGAATTTTAGAATGGCAAAGAAAATGTATATAAATCTAACTTTTTTACGTAACAGCTTTGAAGAAATTTAAAACTGACATAAAATTAATAATCAATTAACGATGTTTAAAAAACAGCAAATTTACACAAAACTCAATTATATTTGTTTAAAAAACCCAGCAAATTCATAATGATATTTATGGGAAAAAAAAAAAAAAGAAATGGAGAAACTGACATAAAATTCATAATTAATTAATTAATGATATTTGTAAAAAAAAAAAAAATCAAAAAAGAAAGAAAACTGACATAAATCCTTAAAAAATGGGGGGGAAACCAGAAAATTACCAATTCTAAATTTATTATTGATATTAATAAAACAAAATCACTTTTATTTTTTAGTTGGATAGAGAAAAATGTGGCTGGGGTAGCAGAGTAGTGTATCAAAAAATTGAAATGGAACAAGTTCACGTCTGGTGTAGACACTGTGTCAGATTTTTTGGAATTACAAATCTAATTTTATTTTTGAATTTAATTTAGAAACACCAGCAAAAAAATTAACCAATATTTGCCAGCTTGATTAATAGCCCACGTCTTGTTAGCAGCATTATGATGAATGGATGCAGTGTATATTCCCTGTGTTTTGTCTGTGTATGTGTGCTTTTGTTGTGTCTGCAGCTTATTGTGTTAGATAAGCGCTCTTGCGGCCAAGGGTGGACGGGGAGGTGTCCGATCCCCGCCTTCCTCTGTTTGCTTTTGAATAATGAGGTTAATAACCCTGATCCCTCTCTTGCTCATTTTTGTCCTTGCTCTTGCTCTCCGACTCCTCAGCTGGGAAGCACCTGGGGACTCCCGCCCCTCCCCCTCTGTCCCGCCAGCCAATGAGACACAACCCCTGACCAGTAGACTACGATTTTACTAACATTCATTACCAAAGACGCCTTCCAATGGGAAATCCCACTGGCACTTTGGAACACGGGGGTTTATTAAGAGTTGGCTGGAAATCTCCAAGGCACACAGATATAAACGTAAATTATTTGCGACCATCTGCCTTGGGGGTACCAAAGCATTTGCAATGGGTCCAAGTTTAATGCGCGCCCCGAAGGGAAATGCCTATTTGACGGGACGTCAAAATACGGGGGTCGTCGCTTCTGGTTTTGACACATTGTTACAGTGACCGTTAAAGATGAAACACACATACATGCATGGAATTTTGCTTGGGGAAGTGAGCCAAGAGACCGGAGAACCTGCCAATTGTGAGTGTTCATGACATCATATAACTTTCTTTCTAATTAGAACATCTCGTTCACAAAGACTCAAAGGAAGAGCTCACCCAGCAGGCACAGCGTGTGCAGGCCCATATCCCTGTTCTTCTTGATCTTATCATAGAAGCTCTCAGGTCTCCATGTGTCCGTCCAAAACACAATGGACACTGTCTCCCCGAAGTTGTACAGCTAAGGCGGAAAACGCAATCACATTCATACTTAATTTATTCACACTAGATCTTATTTTGCATTGGTCAGTGTTCACGAGTAACCAGTTCGGTTTAGCCACCGACAAGGTGCTTCCTGTTATTCAGTAAGCATGACATCATTCTGAACACTAGAGTGCCGCACAGCTGACACAACAAAGTGACATTACAGCAAGCAGACTTGTTACCAGTTACTTTAGGTCCTACAGACCCTCTGAAGATCACATTAGTGCGATATGAACAAACATATAGGTAGTGTTGAAGTCGTCCCACATCTACCAAGTCAAGGGGTGTCCAATCCTGCTCCTGGAGGGTCAATGTCCTGCAGAG